GAGAACCTGACTAGAACCTGGTGACTGAACCTGGCTGGAGAACCTGGACTGAACCTGGCTGGAGAACCTAGCAAGAGAACATGGACACAGAACCTGGCTGGAGATCTGAAGCAGAACCTCTCTGGAGATCCAGACCAGAACTTGGCTGGAGATCCTGGCTGGAGATCCTGGCTAGGCTGCTGATCAACTGAACGCTGCCTCCATGTCATTCCTTCTTTGCCGACTCCGTCCACACCTTTGGGGACCCCTGGACCCGCTGGGGTTGGACCCCGGCAGGCCCGCTCCCGGGTGGCAGAGGGCAGGCCCAATCCCTAGGTGCCTGCCCTGCAGACCCTGGTCGGGCTCAGAGCAGGGCCGATTGGGGAGTTGGGGCGCCGCCCCTTGTCATGCACAGAGCAGGGCAGATCAGGAGGTTGCGATGCCACCCTCAGTCACGCTCAGGGTAAAGCCGACTGGGGTTTGGGGTGCTGCCCCGTCACACTCAAGGCAGGGTTGATGGGGAGGTAGCGGCGCCACCCCATCACGCACAGAGCAGGGCAGATCAGGGTGTTGTGGCGCCACCTGTCACACAGACAGCGGGCCGATCAGGGGGTTGGAGTGCTGCCCCCTGACATGCACAGAGCAGGGCCCATCAGGGGGGTTGGGACTCCATACCCTGTCACACATAGAGCAGGGCCTATCAAGGGGTTGGGGAGCTCCCCCGTCACCCACAGAGCAGGGCCGATCAGGGGGTTGGGGAGATCCCCCCTGCCATGCACAGAGCTGGGTGAATCAGGAAGTTGCGATGTCACCGTAAGTCATGCTCAGGGTAGGGCCAATTGGGGGGTTGGGGTGCCACCCCCGTCACACTCAAGGCAGGGCCGATGGGGAGGTTGCGGCTCCACCGCGTCACACACAGAGCAGGGCCCATGGGGGGGTTGGGGCGCCGCACCCTGTCACACACCGAGCAGGCCGATCAGGGGGTTGGGGAGCTCCCCCCTATCAGGCACAGAGCAGGGCTGATCAGGGGGTTGGGGCGCCTTCCCCTGTCAAGAACAGAGCAGGGCGGATAGGGAGGTTGTGACCTTGCCCTCTGTCACACACAGAGCTGCAGGGCGATCAGGGGGCTTGGACACTGCCCCGTCACGCTGCTCCAGGGGTCAGGAGGCCTCACGGCTCCACTGATCCCAGTGCTGGTAGGCCTCGAGGCTCCGCTTCACACCGGGGCAATAAGGCCTCGCTACTCAGCTGATCCCAGTGCTGGGAGGCCTTGCGGCTCTGCTTGACACAGGAGCAGTGAGGCCTCACTGCTCCGCTGATCCCGGTGCCAGGAGGCCTCGCGGCTCTGCTGATCCCGGGTTCAGGAGACCTTGTGGTTCCGCTGATCCCAGTCCGGGAGGCCTCGCGGCTCTGCTGATCCCGGTGCTGGGAGGCATATTAACCTTTTACTATATAGGATAGAGGACTGATGCACGGCTGGGGGCCTGCTGGTTTGCCCTGAAGGGTGTCCCGGATCAGGGTGGGGGTCCCCACTGGGGTGCCTGGCCAGCCTGGGTGAGGGGATGATGGCTGTTTGCAGCTGGTCACACCCCCTTCAGAGTGAGGGTCCCCACTGGGGTGCCTGGCCAGTCTGGGTGAGGGGCTGAGGGCCGTTTTCAGGCTGGTGGATGATTGAAGCTCCCAACCTCTCTTTTATTTCTTTTTTCTTTTTTATTCTGGGATTTATTTACCTTCTATGGCTGTCACTGGAGCTGAGAGCCGTCCTTAGCGCTAAGGCTCGGCTCCAACTCTGAGACCTCGGCTGCTGAAAGCAGGTTTCTGGGCTTTGTTTACCTTCTGTATTTGAAACTTTGTTGCGACTCCAGCTCTGAGATCCCGGCTGGCTGAAAGCAGGTTTCTGGGTTTTGTTTAGCTTCTATATTTGCAACATTGTTTCTTAGAGAGCAGCTGAGAGGCCGGCAGCGGCAGGCGGGGAACCTGGCTTCCTCCGTCACTGGAGCAAGCAAGCCTCCTGTTTGCCTCAACTGCCTGACTGCCATCCGCCATCTTGGTTGGCAGTTAATTTGCATATCTAGCTGATTAGCCAATGGGAAGAGTGTCGGAGGTACGGTTAATTACCATGTTTCTCTTTTATTAGATAGGAAGATATATACATATATACAGTATATGTACAATGTATCTATAATAAGTATATATTATATAAATATTTTGGAAGGCAATTTACCAATAAATATAGGATATTACTAAATTTTTAAACAAAATTAGATCTTTTTTTATATATTTTATTGATTTTTTACAGAGAGGAAGGGAGAGGGATAGAGAGTTAGAAACATCGATGAGAGAGAGAGACATCGACCAGCTGCCTCCTGCACACCCCCTACTGGGGATGTGCCCGCAACCAAGGTACATGCCCTTGACCGGAATCGAACCTGGGACCTTTCAGTCTGCAAGCCGACGCTCTATTCACTGAGTCAAACCAGTTATAGCTAAACAAAATTAGATCTTAATAAACAACTTAATTTTTAAAAACCATTCTTCTGCCCTAGCCAATTTTGCTCAGTGGTTAGAATGTCAGCCTGAAGGCTGAAGGGTCTTAGGTTCGATTCTGGTAAAGGTTAAAGGCTCGATCATGCCACCCCCTCCTCATGAGGCTTGTGTAAGAAGCAACCAATCGATGTCTCTCTCTCTTTCTCTCTCTTTCTTCCTTCCTCTCTTCCTCCCTCCCTCCCTTTTCTTCTCTCTGAAAGCAATGGAAAGAATATCCTCTGGTGAAGTTTAGTAATAATACCAAAAATAAAAATCATTCTTCCATGTCACTACACACAGATCTACCTCATTTGTTGGAATGACTGCAATACTCCACACACTTGATATAGCAGAATGTATGTCTCTATAATAGGCTATTACAAATAATGGTTATCAAATACATTTTACAATTGGGTCAGCATTTCTATAAGCAGCTATCTAAAAATTTATTGGCAAATAGCCCTCCAGAAAGGTTCTACGAATTTCCATTTCTACCAAAATGCATGGAAGTATGCCATTTCCTGCTTTTCTTGCCGATCTACACTAATAAAAGACAAAGATGCCAACTGACTGTACCTTCACTACGCCCTAAGCCACGCCCACCAGCCAATCAGAACGACTATATGCAAATTAACCCAACCAAGATGGTGGCCGGCAGCCATGGAACTGGAGAAAGCAGGAGGCTTGGTTGCCCGGGCGATGGAGGAAGCCAAGCTTCACGCCAGCCCTGAGCCGGCTGAGGCTTCCACTCATGGCAACAAAGTTTCAATTATAGAAGAAAAATAAATCCCAGATACCTGCTTCCAGCCAGCTACCATTGAAAACCTGGGTGGCTGGGGGTTGTGGCCAGCCTGCAAACTGCCATCAGCCCCTCACCCAGGCCAGCCACACACTCATGGGATGAGGGTTCCTGCTGGGGGGCTTGGCCAGCCGGCAAACAGCAATCAGCCCCTCACACAGACTGGCCAGGTACCCCAGGGGGGACCCCTACCATGAAGGGGCTGTGGACAGCCTGCAAACAGCCATCAGCCACTCATCCAGGCTGGCCAGGCCCCCCAGCAGGATCCTCCCACCCTGAAGTGGGTGTGGCCAGTCTGAAAACAGCCCTCAGCCCCTCACCCAGGCTGGCCAGGCACTCCTATATAATAAAAGGGTAATATGCAAATTGACCCTAATAGCAGAACGACTGGGAATGACTGGTCACTATGACACACACTGACCACCAAGGGGCAGATGCTCAATGCAGGAGCTGCCCCCTGGTGGTCAGTGCACTCCCACAGGGGGAGCTCTGCTCAGCCACAAGCCAGGCTGATGGCTGCCAGTACAGCGGTGGTGGTGGGAGTCTCTCCTGCCTCCTCAGCAGCGCTAAGGATGTCCGATTGCAGGTTAGGCCTGCTCCCCACTGGCAAATGGACATCCCCCGAGGGCTGCCGGGCTGCCAGAGGGATGTCTGACTGCCAGCTGAGGCCTGATCCCCCAGGGAGCGGGCCTAAGCCAGCAGGTGATCATCTCCCAAAGGGTTCCAGACTGCGAGAGGGCAAAGGCCGGGCTGAGGGACCCCCTGAGTGCACAAATTTTTGTGCACCAGGCCTCTAGTGTTAGATATAATCAACTTTAACATATTTTTGCCACTCTGATAGACATAAATAGTGAACCATTTTCATTTAATACTCATGGTCAGTTGTAAGTCCACACAGAATATTTGTGGGGAGGAGAAGTAACTATGAGTGCAGATAGAGGACTGCAGAGAAATGAAAAAGACAAATGATTTGATTTAGTCGCAAAACACCAGGAATGTAAAGATTATTTGAATATGCTGATGAATTTATGAAAGGTGAATACCAACTTAATGTACAACTAGACTTTTTTTCCTTCAGGCTATGAGACTACCCTGAAGATTTCTTTTTTAGCACAGGAGTGAGATGCTTAGAAACCATACTTCAAAAAATTAATCTAGAAATCTATATATATAAAAGGCTAAGCAACCGTCTGGTAGGTATGATGCGCACTGACCACCAGGGGTCAGACGCTCAACACAGGAGCTGCAGTGACTTGGCAGCAGCAGTTCTCGGGTGATGCCACCTTCTAATTAATTTCCTTTCAACGTGCATGAATCCATGCACCAGGCCACTAATAGCATATAAATCTCAGAGGCGGGGGATCAGCAGGGAGGAGACTAATAATATGTCAGAATTCAGGACAGAGACAACGTTAACATAAACTAGAGCAGAACTAGAAAAGAAGAAGAGATGCATTAGAAATGTATTACTTACAGAGCCCAAATGAAAAATATTGGCAAGTTATTAGATAAGAGAGAGTAATCATATGATGGTTGAAGAAAAAAGTGCTTCCCAACCAACTTGATGCTGACTACTTTGGGTGAATAAAACTATAAAGAAAACGTACACAAAAATAATACAGTGGAAAAAAATACAAATGCTGATGAATCAGCTCAATAACTAAAATCAAAATAAGGAAACATATTTCTTGGGTACCTGAGAGATCACTGCTTTCAATTCGCCGGAGATCTGAATCAGCCCAAAAGAGCTTGCCCAATCTGCTATCAAGGGCTAAAGCAATTGGTTTACTTAAGCCACTAAAAAATAGAACCTCCCGTTCTGTTCCATCCAAAGCAGCTCTTTCAATTTTTGGAGACCTTTCCTGAAGATTGGTAAAATACATATACCTGAAGAAAAGGGAGGAAATAATGAGTTTATCAGAATAAGAAATCATACAAAATGAGAATATTCTTACTGATTACAACAAAAAGAGCTAGAATATTATAAAATCTTATTTTGAAATGTCTCAGAATATTTTTTAAAATGCCATGAGATATTTTTACTACTTTCAGTAATAGTAACAAAGGGTACACATAATAATTTCTGTGGGAGCTAACTTTTATGGATTAATAAAACAAGGTGTTAGGGCACAGGCACACCTACACTTTTGAAATACTACAATAAAATAAAACCAGAGACCTGGACACAAAATTTTAAAATCCTTCCCTAATTAGTCCATTTAATAACTAAAAAGAGGTCATAAGAATCATCTTTTTTTTTTTAATATACTTTATTGATTTTTTTACAGAGAGCAAGGGAGAGGGATAGAGAGTTAGAAACATCGATCAGCTGCCTCCTGCACACCTCCTACAGGGGATGTGCTGCAACCAAGGTACATGCCCTTGATCGGAATCGAATCTGGGACCTTTCAGTCTGCAGGCCGATGCTCTATCCACTGAGCCAAACCGGTTAGGGCAAGAATCATTCCTTATATTTATATTTTTTCGTATAACTCTTTTGAAGTCAGCTACTTTCCCTGCTGAATTCCTTGTTACTTATTCAGATGCATAAACTTATTATTTACTAAATGCAAAGCTCTGTATTAAATGAAAGGAGATATTAGTGCTTGGCATAAAGAAACCTACATTCTAGTAGGAAATGTAAGACTGAAAACAAAAGTTGTAAGGTCAATCGGAAAGGACTAGGTAAGACTAGATAGGCATAGATATTTGGGAGAGAGGAAAAATCACATCTTGCTAGGGGTGGGGTAAATCAAGGAGAACTTCATGGATGATGTTGCAGTTGAAATGGTCGTGGAAATATAGGCATAAGTTAGAATTAAAGCAATAGTGACTAAGAAAGAAAATTATAGGCAGTAAAATCAGAGAAAGCAAGAAATGCAGGGGCCAACAGATAGAGAATGTCAAATTTTTCACTGGAACACAGGACACTTGAAGATAAATAACTAAAGACTGAAAAGGAAGGCTGATGAGGGTATCAGATGCCAAGACATCTTAATGGTATTTAGTAACATACCCTTTCTCTGGGTTTACCACAATGGCTCGAGGTCTGTCTTGCTCGCCTTTTAACACCACTCCAATTGATCTCCCATCTAGTCTTGTTACAGTAATGACGTTGGTGGCCTCACAAGTCCAGTAGATGTACCGGCTATAAATATCAATGCTAAGGTCATAAGGCTGTATTTCTAGGTTCTGATTCGGAACTGAGCTCACAACCACAGTAAAGCCCTAGGGAAAGAAAAAGACACACACATAGAAAATTAAGCTCCAAACCAGAAGCCCTGAGGTGATCACTCAACAATGCTTACATTTATGTAGTCACTCATCTGAGAAGGAAGTCTCAAGGGACATTTCTTACTAATATTTTTTATGAGTAATGTGCTTCTTTGTTAACATGCATTTCATTTGGTTATTATGACATGGGGCAGAAGAGTAAGCTAAGGCCATATCAGTGGCTCTAAGAACCTGATATAGTGCATTGATTAGAGATGAGCGTGAGAAGGTGGCACTCTCTTTTACAGACAACCCTGCTACAATCACCGCTAGAAATATCTCAAAAGCAATAGTTCTCTACAAAGGGCAACTCTGCATTTGCAAATGCCTAAACCAGGGCACTTGGCAATGTTTGGAGACATTTTTTATTATTATGCCTATGGGAGGTACAGATAGCATCTAGTGGGTAGAGGCTGGTAAACAGCCTACAATGTACAGGTCAGTCCTCCACAACAAAGAGTTATCCAGCCAAAACATCAACTGTGCCAAAGCTGACAAACTCTGCTCTAGAGACAACAGCAATTGGGGCCATAAACCACAGCTATCAATCATGTCTGTCTCTAATCCTTAAACCTAGCCCCCCCCCCCCCCAAAGTATCTAATCTAATAGAAGAGAAACATACAAACTGACCGTACCTCTGCTACCCCCAAGCCACACCCACCAGCCAATCAGAGCGACTATATGCAAATCAACCCAACCAAGATGGCAGTGGGCAGCCACGGAGCTGGAGCAAGCAGGAGGCTTGGTTGCCCCAGCGATGGAGGAAGCCAAGCTTCCCGCCTGCCCACTGCGGCCTCTGCTCAAGGCAACGAAATTTCAATTATAGAATATAAGTAAATCCCAGATACCTGCTTCCAGCCAGCCTCCACTGGGAGCTTTGGTGGCTGGGGGCCCTAGCCAGCCTGCAAATAGCCATCAGTCCCTCACCCAGGCTGGCCAGGCACCCCAGCAGGACCCCCAACCCGGAAGGGGCTGTGGCCAGCCTGCAAACAGCCATCAGCCACTCACCCAGGCTGGCCAAGCACCCCAATGGGGACCCTCACACTGAAGGGGCTGTGGCCAGCCTGCAAACAGCCATCAGCCCCTCACCCAGGCTGGCCAGGCACTCCAGCGGGGCCCCCACCCTGAAGGGAGTGTGGCACGTCTGAAAACGGCCCTCAGCCCCTCACGAGACTGGCCAGGCACCCCAGCGGGGCCCCCACCCTGATCTGGGACACCCTTCAGGGCAAACCAGCCAGCCCCATGCACCAGGCCTCGATCCTATATAATAAAAGGGTAATATGCAAATTGACCCTAACAGCAGAATGACTGATCACTATGACACACACTGACCACCAGGGGGCAGACGCTCAATGCAGGAGCTGCCCCCTGATGGTCAGTGTGCTCCCACAGGGGGAGCTCTGCTCAGCCACAAGCGAGGCTGACGGCTGCCAGTACAGCGGTGGTGGTGGGAGTCTCTCCTGCCTCCTCAGCAGCGCTAAGGATGTCCGATTGCAGCTTAGGCCTGCTCCCCACTGGCAAGAGGACATCCCGGGCTGCCAGAGGGATGTCTGCCAGCTTAGGCCCAATCCCCCGGGGAGTGTGCCTAAGCCAGCAGGTGGTCATCCCCCGAGGGGTCCCAGACCGCGAGAGGGCACAGGCCAGGCTGAGGGACCCCACTGAGTGCACAAATTTTTGTGCACCGTGCCTGCAGTTTCTTTTATACAAAGCCAAGCAAAATGAGAGCCTTTTTCACCTGTTTTATCTGAATAAATTATATTTTATTTACTTGGCATCTCTGAGGTAACATTCTGTAATGAGGCTCTCTCATTTATTTACCATGTCCTTGGCTATATATAATAACACCTATAATTTCTCTCTACTAGTTATCAGCCTGTTAGAACTGGCCTACATAGAGTACATATGCCATAAACCACTATAACTATACCTCTAAATGATCCCTCAGCCGCCATCGTTACATTATCACTTGCTCTTTTGTGTGAGATAAGCCACATAAAAATCTCCCTAAATTTTAACACATTCAAAATCAAAATTAACTTCACTTCTATGAGGAAGATGACTATAATTATTTATAGTAATCCTAGTCTAATATTGCTTGGTCATAAAAAGAAAGCAAAAAAGTATGGACAGTGGTATGTAAACCATGACTTGTATCTAAGTATAGGTAAGATTTATTGATAATGTTTTCATTCCCATTCCACAGTCACCAAATATTTACCAAAACAAAATTGGATAACATATCCTAGCTATTTTAACTGTTATGAGGTTGTATTATGTGTTTTCTCTTTGAACCTTTTAAGTAAGAATAAACTAGTAACAGAACCATTATTTATTAAGTCCCTATCACATAATAGCTAATGGGCTATGCGCTTTACATTCCATTCATCTAAAAACTTCATAGTAATCCTAGCGAGTAACAGACCTGCAATCAGAACCAAAGTCTTTATGATTTTGAGGCTTCCAAGACTCCATGTAGATGGAACCATAATGAACGAAAAAACTACATAAATGAATATGGGTGGCAGTGACTAAGTCATTACCAATATATGAGGGTAAGTTATCCAAATATAATTTTTATTCCAATAGCATTATCAAAAATTGTATACTCAAAGATCATTAGAAGTGGGAAAAGCTGCTCAGTCCCGAATTTGCTTCATGTATGCACGCACGCGCGCGCACACACACACACACACACACACGCACGTGCAGAGTCAATACAAATAAAATAAGATGACTGGCTAGTCCAATTACTAGATGGGAAAAAAAAAAATGGTTTTTGTACTGAGCCTTGAATTACCTGGCTTCCATCTTCTTGTGCTTTTCGGATCATGTTTTGTCGTGAATCAATCCAATACAGTTGTTTGTCCAGTGGGTCATAGTCAATGGCCCGGACGTTCCGAAGGCTGTGGATAGGAAGGATGATGTCGGGACTCTGCTGTTCATCAATTACCATGCGGTTGATGGCGCTCTTCTGACTGAAGAGCAGGAAAGTAGTTGGAGCTTCAAGAAAGAAAAGAGCAAATCTGAAACACAGACTAAGTCCTATATCACTTAAAGATTTGATCAGCCTGTAGCTATATCTCAAACAAAACACACATAAATGTTGAAGAGGTAAAACTGAGGACAAAACCCTTTGGTATGTCCCCAGAAACCCTCTTCAAAGTGACACTAATCAGCATTCTTGTTCCCAAACCAGTTATAATTTACTCAATGACATAGCCACCTAGCCAGTTTTTTCCTATTTTGTCCACAGTGGTATCATAAGAGACTTGAGTTCAGTGGAGCATTTGACAAAGATATAAAAGTCCACACTTGGCTTAGAAGATTTAGAACATATTCCAATGATCCCAGTGGCGCTCTCCATTATCTGGAGTCCATCACATATTGATTTAACAACTTTTAGCAATTTTAGTAGAACCTGTGTCTTAAGTAGTAAGAACACAAGCTTCAACAGAGTAGCTCACAAGTCTCGCATCCTTTTTAATTTAAAGAATTGTGTTTGGGTAGTACTACTTTCTTGTAAAGCAAGGAAAAAAAAGTTCTAAATTGTAAGTTTCCAACACAATAAGCATCACCTATACTAAGACATACATTGAGACTTAGAAGAAAGACCCCATAATTTTAGTTGCCAACTTTTCCTGACTGGGAAACAATATCAAATATATACTTGGCTCCTAGTATATTTTACTGAGTACTATTTCTTTTGAATCAAGTTTTAGCCTTCAATAAGATTCTACAATTAGGTGTTCTAGAAATGTGAATTAAGACAAAGCCAAACATGGCTCCAAATAAATGCTTGTTTCAAAAAGTCTAAAGTTAACATTAGCAATTATAATTAACTGGCTTAATATTTCTAAGAGAAAGCTGATGTTTTCACTTACAAGTCTTTCAGTGCTTAAAGTAACAAAGAATATGCAATTTTGTAAACCTAAATCCATACTAATTTATGCAACCTCTAACCACCTCATCTCCTGGAGAATAGTGCTTTAAAAATTATCCTCTCAGGCTGTCTGAGTTTTACACTCCCACAATGAAAAGAGCCAACATGCAGAAGTTGAAGGATGAGGTGTAAGCAGAAGGGAGCTTTTTAGTTCTCTGTTGAAGGCACAAGTGTTCACCTGTAGTTTAAAGGGAGGCATTGCACATGTTTGAAGACAGCGTAATCTACAAGGCCCAGCTCACCACGTCTGACTGTGCCATTTGTGCACTGTGCTCAAGGCATGGAGTTGGGACTGAAGTCCAATCCATACTTCATCATCCAAGCCATGCAGTGGCACAGCTCCATCTGCCCAGAGAAAACACCTTTCCGCAATTTGCAGAAAGTTGTCATAAAAGCCAGCCACTTCAGTACTGAACAAGGGATTACACAATTTGGTTTCCTGTTTCCTCTGACCTAATCTACTTATTCATTCTGTTCCAACAACACTGGCCTCCTAGGTGTTCCTCTAACATGTCAAACATGTTCTCCCCTTGGTCCTTTGCATTTGCTGTCCCTTTTTTGCTTGATAGGTTTTACCCCAGATATCCACATAGTTCATTTCCTCACCTCCTTCAGGTCATTACATAATGTCACTTTTTCAGTAGTGACTTCTCTAATCACCCTATTTAACTTTGCAATCCTCCTCTCCATCCTTTCTCCATATTTTTCCAAAACATGTATCTCCATCTAACCCATGATAAAGATTACTTAATTGGTTCATTATCTGTCCAACCTCATCTCTCTTCTCTGAGCTCTGGGGTCTTCTCCCAACTTATTTCGTTTTTCTACTGCAATACCCCATAGAAATATCAATATAAACCTGCCTAAAATTAATTTTTTCTTCCTGAAAACTAACTTTCCTCTTCATACTTCCTCATCTACTATCTACTTAACTGATCAAACCATGAATCAAATAATCACTGTTACTTCCTCCCTTTACTTCTCCCCCACATACAACCCATTAACAAGGTCTGTTCATTCTAGCTTCAAAATACACCTTAATTCCATCAGCTTCTCTCCATCTCCACTGCCACCACTCCAGTCCGTCTTCCAGCATTACCAAACACTGTGTTTTGTTGTTGTTTGCAGTGTGTGTGTTTATTTAATATCCTATGCAGTTTGTACCGTCCTATGCAGTGTGTGTGTGTATTTAATATGCACTACCTTATTTCATTTACAATCAGGAGATGATATAGCCAAAAATAAAAATAAAAGTTAGTTAAGTAGCAACCACCCACTATGTTCAGAGCATGTGCTCTAGTCTCCCAGCTACGTTCTGCTGTTTCATACTGACTAAATTTACTCGTATGCATTTTCTACCTGGCCTTTTATCCTCTTAAATTTTTTTATCTTTAGCCTATTCTATGAACTTCAAAGGACAAAGTGATTGTATTTTGGAGATCCTCTAATAGTACAACATTTGTACTGCTCTTCTCTTTCTTTGTAATGAATAAATATGAATTAATTATGTATAGCAAATATGTATGATTGTCTCTCTCAATGAAGCTATGCAAATTCTACACTAAATCTTTAATGCTCAAGGGTAAAAGATTTAATTTTTCTACAACATCTATTATCCCATAATATCAACTAGCTATCATCAAATAAGTAGTAACAAAAACATGCATTTTTCCATCTCTAGTCCTTCCCTTTTATTAAACAAATCACTAGCTCTGGACTTCTGCAAGTTTTTACTCTAGAAAGAACATGAACCGCAGTGTTTTCAAAGTCCTTCTTTTTCCTCTATTTCCAGTTTGCTTTGGAGAAATGCAGCTTACCACTACAAGTCCTGTTGTCGGCATTAAGAGAGTAGTGGGCAGGACATCCACAAACAAAACCTCCCACTGGCACAGCCAAGCAGAGGTGGGAGCAGTGCCCATTGCTGGAAGCACACTCATTCCAGCCTGCCTGCCGAGAGGAGTGAAAGACGAGGATGTCCATCACATAATCCAAATGGCCCTGAATGATGGTGCGGTTTTGGCCACTAGTTTTGTTGGCACGCTCAATGCTGCGTCGGCTCCAATCCGTCCAGTAGATGTAATCTTGGTACTGAGTTAAGCCAAAAGGATGAGGCAAGTCATCTGCTATAACTTCACGGTTGAGTCCTATTTTCAGAAAGGCAGTAGAAAAGGGAAAAGCAGAGGGCTGAATTTTCTAAGAATATGAGTCTCATTGCCCCATCCTCCAAATTTTAACATTAAAACAAACATTTGTTAGCAATTTAAAATAGAACAATTCATTTAAAAGCAATTCTAAAACCAGACCAGTCCTCTGAAATCAATCCATCAGCAGTCTGACCCCATGCCTCAAACTTATATTCTTGCTATAAATCACTGAGTTTGTTTAAACTCTTGTAAATGGTCTATTTTGATTGTGGTCTTATTTTCTCTCCAAAAGGGCCCATAGTTCAATTTTTCTTCTTCATTCCATAATAAGATGGAAATGCATATACTGTATTTTACTGGTACAAAAAGTCACTTCAGGAATATCTAGGGGGTTATAAATTCCATTATAAGCACAACAATAATTAAATTTCCACAAAATAAAGAGATGTGAATCCAGGTATCTAGCCCACTGTTATAATAATAAATAGAATACAATGCCAGCCAGAGGAAGAATATAGACATTCATGTGAAATTTTATTAACAGAACATAACCAATGGTAAAGCAACCTTTCTGATTTTTGCATAGAAAGAACAATCTACTATTATCGGTTTGAATGAAAAGAAGCAGAACTTACCCAGCATATTTGAAGATTCTATTAAGTTGGTGTCCAGGTCTGTCCAGTAGAGCCTCCTTTTAGCATAATCGATAGTTAGGCCATTTGCACGCCCCACGTTTGGAACTAATGTAGTACGTTCACTTCCATCCATGGCAGCTCTGTCTATCTTAGGTTTTCCACCCCATTCAGTCCAATACATAAACCTAAATTCAAAATAATGGATATTTATAATTTCACTTTTGATTACTTGGGAGAAAGAGCTACATTCATGCATAGTTAACTAAATAATTTTTTTAAAAAAATATACATTAAATCAAGGAAATTAGCAAAACAAAATCATTGCTATAATTTTTCAATTATTTTGGCACCCTCAGCTAAGTATTTTTTTCTTATATCCTAAAAAGGAAATGAGTCAGCTTTCCTTAGTTTTTCCAATGAATCTGTTCCATCCAAAACCTAGGGACTGGAAACAAACCAGTGATTTCCTTACTGCAACACTTGTATTTATAAAACAAATATTCAAGAAGATAAGAAGAATTAAAGCTCTGGTCTCCAAATCTGGTTCACTTCTAAACAATATATCTTTATGCATTTCTGAATACAACTAATTTGAGTTTTTAAATTTTTAAACTTACTTTTTGACTTCTATAATCTCTCCCCGAAAACAAGATGCAGAAGTATATAAAAAATACAAATTAATAGCTTTAAACTGAAGTTAAAAAAGAATGGAACATACTATATGTATAAGAGGAATGAATCACTCCTTAATATGTCATCTGGCATTGAACACTGGAACTGTAACCCTTGTGAAATTTTAGAATATGCTTTTGCTTTTATTTTACTTTTTCAAGTTTTTCATATTAACCTTACAGCAGCTCCACAGTACTATATGGGCTTTTTCTTATGAGGAGGACAAAGCACTGAAAGAAATGTGAACAATTTGTCCAATGTCCTCAAGCCAGTCACATGATAGAGCTAGAACTATACCCAGTTCTTTAGCCAAATGCCCTTTCAACTAAAACTAGTAAGGTGTTAGTTGCAAAACACTCTGAATACTGGGACTAGAAAAGCACTCCACATGCCAACTCTCATCACATACCTGAGCATACCTGAGGACAGACATGTACTCAGGAGCCTGTCAGCTGATGGCTGACTTGGTAGCAATGCTTTTCTGAAAAGTAAAGTTGGTCTTGGGCTTTGTTTGCATCTGTACTTGTCTACTGACAGGCATGTGCACACCACAAGAGCCAGAGAGAAACAACTGTGAGAGAAATTTCACAGTTGCCAACAGCCACATAAACTAGAGTTCTTAGTCCCAACTACTAAATTTATCTGTCTGGTAACTGAAGCTATTAAAGTAAAAGATCACCATAATCCAACCATAACATGTCAGCACAGAGAAACTGTCTTTGGTATGGCTAACAAGCTCATCATGGAATTAATGTGATTCAGGGAAACTATTTTTAATTGTAGATATGGTAAAATATTCTTGTATGTTCACATTAACTTCTGCTTTTAAAAGTAAAATTACTCTTCAACTTTTATATGTCTTAGCTGCTGGCTTTTTAAATTTTTCTAAATCATGCAGGATCATCTACTCTTGGAAAGCATCACTTTATAAATAAATAGAGGCTCAACAATTCACAAAACCAGTTAACTGTTTAATAACAAAGTTTCTTCAAGCTTATAAATAATGATCAAAATAGTTGTCCTCTTGAATGAATATTCTAAAATGGAGCTTTTTTAAATGCAGTCATTTCTTTGCCCGTAACATTTATTTCAGAGAATTTACTTTAATAGGTTTGGAATCTGGTATAATTTGGGAGGGGATGCAAGAAAATATAGACTTGCTATCTTTATGAAGGCTGTTTATTTAGTATATAAATACAAGCAGTAATATTTAATTAATAATCCATTACACTATGCATTCTTCATCGAATGTTCATAATGACAAAAGTAAAATTTAGCTAATAATTATTATTTTTTTTTTTTTAAAGCAGTTTTTTTTTTTTTTTTAAATATATTTTATTGACTTCTTACAGAGAGGAAGGGAGAGGGATAGAGAGCCAGAAACATCCATGAGAGAGAAACATGGATCAACTGCCTCCCACACGCCCCACACTGGGGATGTGCCTGCAACCAAGGTACATGCCCTTGACCGGAATCGAACCCGGGACCCTTGAGTCCGCAGGCCGAAGCTCTATCCACTGAGCCAAACCGGTTCTGGCAAAATTTAGCTAATAATTATTAATTCTAAATCAGTGAAATGTCAGCTAACGGTTTTAAAATAAAGCCTATCTATATAGTTTAGTCGTCAGATTCCTAATAAGAATTAAAACATCAAGAACATAACCCATGCCCTGGCCAGATGGCTCAGTTGGTTGGACATCATCCTATGCACCAAAAAGGTTGTAGGTTCAACCCCAAGGTCACATCATTACCTCTCTCTGTCTCTCTCTGTCTCTTCCTCTCTCACACTCCTTACCTCCCTCTCTCTCTAAAGTCAATGGAAACATATTCTTGGGTGAGGATTAACAAAGAAGAATATAACTCATGTAGTAGGCCATGTACAATGTAGCTGCAAAGAATGCATACATAAAGCTGTTTACCCTTCAGCAGGGTCCAACGCTAGAGCTCTGGGACTGTCCAGGTCTTTCCACACCAAAACTTGTCGGTGCTGCCCATCCAACTTTGATGCTTCAATTCGATTTGTTCCTGTGTCTGCCCAGTACAAGTTCTTCCCAAGCCAGTCTACTGCCATGCCTTCCGGATAATCTAAGCCAAATTCCACCACATGTTCCAATGCACTGCCATTCATAAAGGCTCTGCTGATGGTCTGCAAAAATAAGATTAACAACAAAGTCAAATGGCTTAAGTACAAAACACTTGGAAAAAGAATGTTTGATTTGGGTTTTGTTGGGTGGGAGGATCCAGAAGAGCCAGAGATACAGTTTCTTAATATAATTTCTTAATACAGTTTCTTAATACAGGAAAGAAATTATATCAAGTTCTAATAAATGCAAATGTGAACTCAAGTTTTATTGCCAATTCAGGGAGAAATTTTTGAGGTTCTTATGGACCAAAAAGTTATTCTAGTAAGACAGTGGAATGACTTTTCTTTTAAAATTTATTAATCAAGTGAAAAAAATGTGAACAGAATGTTGTAAACTCTTCACTGGTAATCAACTTTTTAAAGGTGCTTGAAAGTATGCCATGTCACTGTGTCAATCTGATAAGATTTCAATAAACTTATACCTTATAAAACACATAATACTGCCCTGGCTGGATAGTGCAGTTGGTTGGTTGGAATACTGTCCCGTACACCAGAAGGACTTGGGTTTGATTCCTGGTAAGGGCACATACCTAGGTTGTGGGTTCGATCCCCGATCACAGTGCATACGGGAGGCAACCAATTGATGTTTCTCTCTCAGATCAATGTTTCTTTTTTTCTCTTATTCTCCCTTCCCCTCTAAAAATCAATAAAAACCTACCCTCAGGTGAGGATTAAAATAATAATAATAATAATAATAATAATAATAATAATAATAATAATAATAAATAAATAAATAAAATGCAGCTTTGAATTCCCTAAAATTTAAAACAATCTAAGTCAAACTATTAATAACAGCTGCCAGGCACTATCCTAAGTACTTTATGTACATAAATTTTCTCAGTTAATCCTCACAATAGCCCTGCAAGATAGGGCTCGTCTCTATTTACAAGATGAGGAAACAGAAAATCACAGTAAAAGCCAAGATTTATTTATTTATTTCACTTATTCACTCATTTAATAGACTTTAAAGAATATCATCAGAATCCTACTCTGTGGGGGAGGGGGGGAGGCGGGAGCGGGTGGAGAGAGGTCAATGTGGGGAAAAGGAGACAAGAAATACTTTCAATAATAAAACTTTTTTTTTAAAAAAAGAATCTTACTCTTGCTCCAAAATGCCATGATTTTGCATGTTAGACAAAATTTTACTCAAATTATGTGAAACAAGCCCAAAACAACCTGGAAGAAAACATTATTCTCCAGATTTTCTGAGAACTCCTTTTTGACTCAGTATGCTTTTCAATGTTTATTCCAGGAAAAAGAAACTAAAGTTGTGCTATAACTCATAACTGGCATTTTCTACCTCAGTCAGGCTCCAAAATTTTGTTGAAAATAAATTAAGTCTCTATATGCCATTTATGTGAAACATGCAATTGCTTACTCTCTAAAAGTCACTCATTATCTTCAAAGGGAACATAGTAGAACAATTATGTCTGTAGATTATGTCTTACAGATTTAGATGCTTAAGCAACATATCTTCTATTGAAAGGCAGTAAATTAAATACTCAATGGGCCTTTCCCTTGGCTTCCTTTAAAAGTTTAAGGTTTTACTGAACTTTGCCTGCCTATTAAGCAATGAGGGAGATTGATCAATCACAGAATGAAGACTCAGAAATTCTATCAGCTCTCCTTTTTAGTCCCGTTTTAACATTCCACTTCTTTTGCTAACCTTGAGTGATATATCAGTCCAGTAAATTCGGTTGTCTGTCACATCAAAATCCAAAGCAGAAGCTTCTTTGACACCAGTGAGTGGAATGGCCACATTATTATTGTTAGTTTCCAAAGAAATTCGCCTGATATCTGCTCTCCGAGAAAACAAAAGGAAAGCCTCTGGAACAATGCAGGTCTTCATGTCACTGATGAGTTCAAAGCCAATGGGACAGGCACAGCGAAGGCCCTGAGGTCTATAGAGGCAAAGATGGCTACATCCCCCATTTTCATCAGCACAGGGATTGGAACCTAAAAGATAAATTAATTATAAAAGGGCACAGAAGGACACACACATTGACACCATCAACACATTGTTACTTTAAAATGACTGAGCTTTTGGTTTGCAGAGACTTATGATTATATCTGCTCCCAAATCTACAGTTTCAATTCTAATCTCACCAACAAGCACTATGAGCACAGACAGTGAATAAAAGGCCTAGTGCAGTGTTGCAAACTGTGGCCCCAGTTATTCGGTAGGCCAAGCCAGGAGAATCACTAGAGACCAGGAGTTCTTAGCTGTAGCATATTGAAGTACAGTATATGCTATGCCATTCAAGTGTCTGCACAAAGTTGGCATCAATGTGGTGACCTTCCAGGAGTGAGGGCCTGAGGAGGGGTGAACTGGCCAAGGTCGGAAATGGAGCAGTTCAAACAAAACTCACTTGCTAATCAATTGGGAATTAAAGTATTGCAAAATGCTTTCCTCTGTACCCACAGTAAGCTTATAATAATAAGCTACATTATTCATACAATAGGATTGAATTCTTTTGATGGTGTGTGTGTGTGTGTGTGTGTGTGTGTGTGTGTACGAGCACCCTTCAATTCAAACTATGTGACCAGAGTAGTAAGCCAACATTTAAAAAAACCTTTCCTGGTTAAAAAAAAACAAACAAAAAAAAGGGAGGGGCGGTTTAAAGTTTTACTGATTTCTATATTTCCTCAAAACATCAACAATTCACAATGCTGCTTTATAAACTGCTCCCTATCTCCATCTTTATTCATTTCTGGCATCCACCTCTAAGAGAACTTGGGAAGAACTTACCAATGATTCGATGAACATTTGTGGCCTTTAGGCCCATGAGGTCAGGGAGCTGATCTATGATGATTTCCCTCTCTGCACTTCGTTTGTGTACTCTTTCGATGCTCCGCCTCTGCCAGTCAGTCCAGTAAACATAGTCACCCAACAAAGTAAACCCAAAAATGTGAGGAATTTTGTCTTCCACTAGTACTCGTCTCCCAGTGCCATCAGTATTCATAACCTTCAAGTGAAGGGAAAAAGATGTATACTTATTCTTTAAATGTATGTAAAAATGACCAATATAACTTTCTGTTACATCAAAATCCAAAAGTGTCATCTTATTTATCCTTATTACAATGCTTTCACAAAATGACAAAATGCTGTTTAATGAGGGTGGTTTCAAATATTCAATATAAGCTCATATTTTATCTCTATTTCTCCAATCTCTTATTACCCTTCCTTCTAAAAAATTTGGCAATATTAGCTCTTCTATTAAATGATTATGTAAAAATTAAAAATACTATATCATCACTTTTAGTTTGCTTGTACCTTGTTTTCAAATTATAATGTACCTTCCCATACATTATCTTATTGCATACTAGAGGCCCAATGCATGAAATTTGTGCAAGAGTAGGCCTTCGCAGCCCCAGCTGCCCCACATGCCCCCCCGCCCCACCCACTGGTTGTTCTGGAAGGTCGTTCCGGATAGTCGTTCTGCAGTCCAGTTTAATTAGCATATTAGCTCTTTATTATATAGGATCTGTTTTAGAACATTTTATCCTGAGAATTTTGCCTTTTTTACATCTAAGGAAACATTCATATCAGTTCACACAACCTGAAAACAAAGCTGGAGCTGAAGTATTTTTTAGTACTCCACTTAGTATATTTTTTATTTCATTGTTTTTACTTAAAATTAACATTACTAATACACTCTGATACTCTCATAAATATCAGCAATTTCCCTAGAAGTAATCAAGGTGTTCTGTCTCTGATATTGCAGCAGCAGCTTCTTTCTACAAGATGGAATAAGTCTTCTAAAGCACCAACTTGCAAGTCCCTGAGATCATTTCTATTTAAAGTGATCTTATGCAAATTAGCCTTCAGAAATGTTATAATGGTACTAAAAACATGTACATGTAATCAATATCTTCCCCCCAACCTGTCTACAAAAAATATCAGATACAATCTTATATACAATGTATTAATTTTTTATATATAAAATTAGTAAGAAATATTCCATGTAAGCCAATAATGTGATTTGCCTAGATGGAATGACAACTAGATGTTCTTTATCTCTCCTCTCTAAAAATTTTAAAGCACCTGCTAACGTTCTAAGAACAGCCAAACCTTAGAAACAGATGAAGTACTTAAAAATTGAACAAGTAAAACTGTGCTGTATTTTCACTTGCAATTATCAATAAATATCTGATTTATATCTGATGAATGAGAAATTATATTAGTTGAATATTTATCTGTTCATATCAGATACAACAGAACTTATATTAAGCCAACTGTATAAATCTGTATTCATATAAGTGTTTTTTTAAAGTTATTAAGCATAGCCCTGGCTGGGTGGCTCAGCTGGTTGGAGCATTGTTCCATACACTCTGGTGAGGGTACATGCCTAGGTTTCCGGTTTGATCTCTGTGCTGGGGTGCATATGAGAGGCAACCAATTGATCTCTCTTTCTCTCTCCCTCTTTCTTCCCCTCCCTCCCTCCTTCTCTCTCCCTCCCTTCTTCCCCTCCCTCCCTAAAATTAGTAAAAGCACAACCTCTGGTGAGGATTAAAAAGAAAAGTCATAAATATAGTTAAAAAGAATTAAGTACTACTCTAACTCCTACATTAAATACTGTTTAAAGTTAATAATTTCTCTTTAATTTGAGACAAGAGCTTAAACTTTTTACATTTATATTTTCTTGCTATAGAGCATTCCTGGACATATTTTATGATGTCTATGTTATATCTTAAAATCAATTTGATTTTTAAGAGTAAAAGGACTAAGCAGAGAAAAAGGATAGATAACTTTTTTACATATCTATCGAAAAGGTGAGCTCTAGAATAGCAGGAACCTTAATTCATCCATTTATGCACCTTCCACAACTATTAAAGGGCCTAGCAAAGAACTCAATAAATTTTTGTTAAATAATTTTTAAAAGAAGAGTGGTTTCCTAAGACACTCAAGAAGCCTTCCTAAAAATGGAAACAAAAATTTCTATAACAGTTCTTATCATTAGATCCTACAGCTTAACCATTTGAATGAATGAAATTCTTGCTCAAATTATAAATCCATGTAAAACTGCATTTGACGCCTACTTTTGGAGAAGGGATACATTCCTGATCCCTTCTAATGGCAGTGCTCAGAGAAAGAATTTCTGGCCCCAATCTATTACTGCTTGGAAACTTTGACCAGGGTGCAAAATCTTTCCTTCATTAGACATATAATTTAGAAAACCTATTTTAGAAAAAGCTTATTTTCAAAACTCTATACTTTTGCCTCTTCATCCTAATATGGAAATCATCTCTTAACTCTAGTGTCTTCCTCTACCTCATTTACAAGAACTTTCTCCCAATACTACTTCCTTCCTTTCCAGGAAGGAAGTTTTCCTTCTCCATAAGGTCCTTCTTTTCTGCCTTTAACACAACACAATTTCTCCCATTTTATGAAGACTGTTTAAAAGGTGAATGATTCTGTGTTAACTGTCATATTCTTTGAATATGATCTCTAACAGCTATTTCTACCTCTTATCATTTATTCCCTTAACTCCCTACAAATCTCTTCCAATCTATGCTTCAGATTAAATAACTCTACTGAAAACAGTCAATGACTACTTTCTCAGTTCTTGGGTTCTTTGTCTCTTTTTAACATTTGACAACCTTAACCACTCACTAAAACTCTAATCTTGACGATCATGGCACAATATGATCTTATTTCTCTTTCTATAACCAGGACTACTTTTTATGTCTTTATTTCACTTGTTCCTCCTTCCTTTTTCAAATCTGGATGGATATTTCCCAAGATTTCTTGAGTTCTTCTTTGTCTGTAAACACCCTTAAAAAGGCCTAACAAGTCTTATAGTTTCTGCTATTATCTCATGTAGAAAAACTACAAATATGTAAAGTTGCAGTCTAAGTCTCACCAGTTTCTCCTGCAAAATTCCCATCTCCCAGAAAATATACTGCTACCTCATCTAAATGCCACATACTTAACAGTGAACCTATGTTCTCCATTAGGAGTTCATCATTCTTATCAGAGAGCATCTAACTGTGAGTGCTAAGTATTCCGTACCATAAAACTCTAAAACACTACTTTTTTACAAGTTTATGGTACATAAAACATATCTGATTTAATGTATTCCTAGTTTCATTCAGTATTATCTTAAATCAATTAATATGCATTATCTTTCACTTAATAAATTAATACTGCTTAATAAAATAATATTGCTTTACTGTACCCAAATATTGGCCTTCCAATTAAGATGCCTAATCCTGAATTAGGTGCTTTATGCTGAACTTTTTAAAAATTAAAAAGTAAATTTCTACTTCAAAAATATTACAGGACCAACCAACTCTTCTCTTTTAGCTACGTCATCCTACAACATTTTTGTTAGTTCATTCTGATAAAAGAACAACTTAAACATAAGATTACTGATTAAGTATGAGTTTGGAGAATGAGCAAAAAATAAAATTGAAAATCACAGAGAGAAAAAGAAAAGCACAATCCCAAAAGATCTTTTTAGTTTACTTAACTAAGCATCTTCTATTTAGTAGTTACTGTTCATTCTTCTGCTCTAAAAAGAAACCTCTCGTGATTAGCAAACGATATTCTGACAGAATCAGATAGATTTGGATTTCAAATATAAGCTCTAAACTCACTGGGTACCTTTACCCAGTTTCTCACATGTAAAACAGAATAGAATTAAAGATTCAAGAAATATAGCACAATACCAGATATGTACTAGATGCTCAGTAAATGCTGGTTCTTGCCTTTTAAAATTATTTTAGAGAAATGTTTTATTCAGTCCTTAAAAGTAAACAGCTATATTTAAATGGCTACATATAATTTATAAAATATAATGCTTCAAAACAAAAATTAATATCCTATATAATAAAAGCCTAATATGCTAAGTGTCCAGTCGTCTGGTCAGTCATTCAACCAATCAAAGTGTAATATGCTAATGATATGCTAAGGCCGCTCAACCGCTCGCTATGACGTGTACTGACCACCAGGGGGCAGACGCTTCAACTGGTAGATTAGCTTGCTGCTGGGGTGCTGGGGTTTAGCCAATCCAGAGTGATACGGGTCGGACATGCCCTGGAGCCCTCCCTCAAGCCCTCCCCAGCTGGCCAACCTCCCGCATCCCTCCCCAGCCCCAGTGGGGTCCCTCGACCTGGCCTGCGCCCTCTTGTAATCTGGGACCCCTCAGGGGATGTTGGAGAGGCGGTTTCAGCCCAATCCCGAATTTGTGCACTGGGCCTCTAGTATAAATATAAAAGAGTATGTGGAAATAAAAGACCAAAACACCGCACACTGTTAAACTGAAGAATGTAAGTAATACAGACTTTTATATATTATGGCAACTAGTAGAAAACAACAGGCCCTTACTCCCATTTCTAACCCCCCATTTTTACTGTTTGCTTATGCAACAGAAACTAAAACAGTAAACAAAAAGAATAGTTGACAGTATCATCAGAGCATATGTTTGCTGCTCTACCAGACCCTCATTGCACTCCCCCACAAAAGCAAACAACATTAATAAACATATCTAATAAATTCAAATCACCATGAATGATATTATGATGAATGCTAAGAAATTTATAACAGGATTTCTTCTAGCTTAGGAATCACTCTCTAGTTGTAGAGGTAAATTATATTTACATTAAAACATATATACATATACATATACATATACACATACACATACACATACATATACATAAACCTTCTCTAGTCTATAGCTAATTAAGAGAAACTTCAGGAAATAGTAGGAATTCAAATCCACCTTGAAGAATTCACGGATTTTCCACAATAAGAGAAATAACACATGCCAAGACACAGAGTTAATGATGCTTTGCTTGACTGACTTTGAAAGAAACTCTTTGAGGCAGAAAGAATACAAAAGATACTTAAAGAAGACATCACCAGGCAGATACCAGCCTATGGTAGGTATAAAATTCCAGAATAAGGAGAGTTATAGAAAACAAGAAACTTCTGAAAGCACTTTCAGGAGAGTGACATAAC